GGTTTCCGCCAGATTGAAATCAGTGACAAGGTCATTCCAAAAACGGCTTTCACGGTAGAGAACGGCCATTATGAATTTCTCAGAATGAGCTTTGGTCTCAAGAATGCCCCATCAACGTTTCAAAAAATGATGGATAACATTCTTCTCGGAATACAGAATGAACGATGTCTGGTTTGCATGGACGACATCATCATCTAATTCCCTACCATTCATTATCACATATCCAGACTAAAAGAAGTATTTAGACTCCGTCAAGCTAATCTCAAAATCCTACCGACAGCGCCAATTTGTTATATCTCACTTTGGAAATATAAGTTTTTAAAAATTATCTATTTTGAAAAAGGAAAACAGTACTGTGTTCCCTTGAGTCGCACGATTAAACATAATTTATTCTTCAATCATCTGAACACTCGGCGAGTGCATTGTTAGAAATAAAGTCTTATATTCTCACCCAAGTTCAACATGAAACGAAATATTTAAATTTTCTCTAACCTAAAATGGGGTTGTTATACGTGATTGCTGACTCATGAGAATTCTATAATTTTCTATTTTTCTGGTGTCAATGGGTTCCTTCTCTCGCCGCGAATAATGATTTGAATTAGTATTTCGTAACCAATTAACTTTAATGGATTTCTTTAGAGTAAGTATTGAAATTTCTCTACAAATCTGCTTCTTTATGAATGTCGATGTTAATTATTAGATATACCTTAGGGATAGGAATTTATTTGGATGTTAATTAGTTGAGTAATTTACTACTATGCTGATTGAGGAGGATGCTTTAAATAAGTAGTTAAAGCATGAGTAGAATCAGTGACGGAAGATAAGATATGATCAAAAATTAATGTCATATTTTTGGCTTGAATGGTGTGCAGCCTCAAAGAGTTTCGTATTTCATTCAATGGATGTGCTGAATACAGAACAGTGTACTGATATTGATGCTTCATTCTCGAAGAACATTACATGTTTATGATAGTTTATGTCAACTCCAAGTGAAATTTCGAAAACTATCTGGATTATAATGCTCTCGAGTGTATTCCAAAATATTTGTTGCAGAGACTTCTAACAACCTTAGGATATTTCGAGGTATCCATTCAGTAAATATACATAGGTTCTACTTCAAAATGAATTTATCTCTTATGCATTGAAATTTTAAATTGACAAGTTCAGAAACGTAATATGATATATGTATTATAATCAAAGAAATTCATGTAATAGTGAAGTAGTATCTCAAAATATCAGCGAAGATGCTTCAAAATACTACCTTCGTTCTCGTAGTCGAAGTATACTACCGCTGGAGATGTAGTAGTATGATGAAATGTTTGCGACGACAAATTTCTTTCGGTCAGGGCTAAATTGCCCCGAATTTGTCTTCAATTGGAGTTTATAGTTTTATATTTATCATTTTGCCAATTGATACTTCAGAAGGGATGTCGATTAGATGAAATTCCACTTGTATTTGTCATATTTAATTCAGATGAAAACCAAATATTTCAACAAGCAAAATGAAATTTCATCCACTCGAACTTTATTTCTTACCAGATCTAACTTCTTCACTTGAGTTTTGAAATTTGGATCTTTCATTGCGTTTTCAATGGTATCGGAATTCAAACTCACATCACCGCAGAAAACAGATATTCTTGGTCTATTTATGTGAAACAGATTCACTTTCCGTAATTCTCTCACACCCCAAAACAAAATTTCCATTTTATGAGGTGTCAAATCTGGTTTTATGCCAATTGGAATTTCTAATTTGTATTTATGAGGAATATCTACTGGTTGGAGATAGTCTTTTGCTGTCAACTAGAATATAAATAATGATTTTGGGAAATAATGCGCAAAATGACTTTTTTCACTTCTATGAGTTCAAATGCAGCAAGTATTTCAGCTGCAACTTCTTCATTGAGATAGAGTTTTGTCCATTTCAGTTTTGGAGGGAGATATGTATTCCCATTTATTACAATATTCGGTTGAACCACTGTTCTTCCGAGTAGTTCGTTCTTGTACTGAAAAATATCGTAAATAAGATTTGACAGCTTATGTTATGTTACGGACAATGGATATTTACAAATTCATCCCGATCGAAACCCTCAATTAAAATCGTCGGAACGTTTGTCGTTAGATGGGACTTGGATCCATATAATGTAACATTGTCGAATATCAGAGTTTCGTCCCAGACTGGATTCAAACAAGCATAAATGACCTGAAACAATACAACATGGATAGAATTAAATTGCAAAATAAGGTTGGTTTGGTTTTAGTTTGGCTTATGGAATCATATTTGAATCAACCAGTTGAATACCTATTCAATTTAACGTTGTTGTCTTGTAAATAAATTATATTTTATGGAACGAGTTCAAATTTGACAATGGGCGTTCTAACTAGCACCGGTGGGGTTTGAACGAGTCAGCTATCTCTAAAAGGTTGTCAGCGGATTCCACCAAAAGAGACAATTCATTTCACGATGAGTCTTGACTCTCAATTCATCGGGTAAAGTTAACGAATTTTCCAGAAAAAAAACTAAAGATTTTCAAATGAATTGGTCAACAAATTATATTCTTTTGGAAATGAAGTATTATATCTCTTCTTCTCTTCTCTCAATCACGAAATACTCGAATTTTTTCTAGTTTAAAAAAATCCATTGGGCAATTCATTCCTAATACTACATTAATCAACTTTCCATGGCCCATCTTGGTGGTCTAATACCGTACATAACAGCACCAGTACTGGTAATACGAGGTCAAGCACTGGAAATATTGCATAACATTCCGGAAAGCAATCAAAATGATATTGGATTGCGGAAGCTCTGTAACTGCGATACGAACAACATCACTTGTAGTACTTATATCAAATTAGTACAAAGCAGTCAATATCACGCAGAAATTGCTGAGGTATGAGGCAATATCATCGTCGATAACGAATTGGTCTCAAAATAATTACATTCGAATAAGATTACCATTTAGTATTTATTTATCAAGAGTTGACGTGAAGATGTTAGGATATATATTTTTTTAAATCAGAATCTCTCCGACTGGAATGATTTTTTATCATTTGTTTTTGTGATGAAGTAGATCTGTCACTTCCAGTGTTATATAGTCCCAAAAGACAAGGATTGGAAGCAAAATTTGTCGAGAATATTATGCTGGTGAAAAGTTGAAGACTAATGGTTCCAATCAAACTTCCGAAAGTCCACCAAAAGATTGAAAACTTTACTTTCTATGTTTTTTACCACTTGTGTTTGTAACTAACGTCACTACAGTTTCGTCTTATGAGAATATTCTAAAACGAATACAATAAACTGAAAATAATTGATAATCTTAGCCCTTATATATCTAAACACCACTGTAGGTGATAACAGAGGTACTTAACTTAATTGAGTACCTGAATTCTATTCACCTCTGACAATATGAGTACGTTAATTTGGAAACCGGTGACTAAACCAATTAACAGTAGGCATCAAATTCTTAGAAATATTGTTGCATTATGCTATATATTCCATCATATTTTTCCGTATCTGTTTAGTACGATTTCCGCACGCCATAACAGAGGTACTTAACTTAATTGGGTACCCGAATTTTGTTTACCTGTGACAATGTGGATACGCCAATTTGAAAACCGGTGAGGGAATTCCATAACAGTAGGCATCAAATTCTTAGAAATATTGTTGCATTATGCTATATATTCCATCATATTTTTCCGTATCTGTTTAGTACGATTTCCGCACGCCACTGCAATAGACAGATTAAGACAAAACATCGGTCATTTATGATAATTTAGTGCCCACTATTTTAAAATCATAGTATAGATTGATTCGATCATTTAGCAGGTTACATCCGCAATGTTAATGTTTATGAATTTCCAAGGATTCCCAAATATTTGGGTTTCCTCACTTGCATAGTGCCGAATTTCCGTATCGTTTAGATTCGGGAACTAGTGGTTGCATTCCAGGGAATGGTTTAAAAACATGGAATCATTTTCGAATAGTACCTTTCGTGTTCAGCATACAGTTTTGAAAAATTTCGGTCATATTGTTCCACATATACACTATTATATTCCGGACACTTCAGCTTATAAACTCCAGATTTCTCCATCTTGTCCAATTTATATTTGGCATTAAAAAGGAAATTAGATAACCTGACATGTGGCCTGAATGCCACTTCCACATTATATTTTTCTGAAAAATCCCGCAATTATCGTTGTTCCTTTACCAAAATATGTTAGAGTTACAAATTTCTTGATTCCTGATTGTTTGATCTGGGGGTACATTGATCTGTACGTAAATTTGAGGCTATGTTTTCTGCCTAACTTATGGGTTGTGTCTGTGTTGAAACCATCAATATATCCTATATGTTTAAATCTGTTCAAAATCTGTTTTCCGTTAATCAGCTGTCGCCCTCATACGAAAGAAAACTCTCAGAAGTTGAGAAACTTGTGTGAGCTAAGCATTAACGAGGTCGTACCTTTTAACGACGTGTGATTTCTAACACGGATTAATTAATTATTTAATTTCCCCATCTAGATTGTTAGCAGATGAATGTAACGAGAATGCTCTGTGCAATATTGATTTGTAGACTGCTAATTTATAACTGTCGAGATGGAAGTTATCATTTGGCATTGTAATGTCGGTATAGCTCGGTTTTCTGAATACATCGAACTCAAATTTATTATGATTATGATTATTATTATGATTATGTATAATGGTCATGTCTGAGAAATTAATGTGTTGCTCTTTCTCTGTTTCGTGTATGAAATCATCAGGCACCTGTGAAACGTCTTCCATTTAGAAGCTCCGTCGCAAGTTACTTCCTATATATGAAAAGCAAAAATTGATTTCATTTGTTCGGGACGACCACTGATAGACCGGTTTCGGATTACTTGCTCGACGTTAGTACCGGAAAAGTCATTTCAGATGATGAACCGTCTGAGTATCCTGAACAAACAAAATCTATTTCAACTAGTCATGAGCTCTATCTGCAGTTGATTCAGTAGGATGTCTACTGCGCCACCTGCAGACACAGTCCGGTATTTTTCACCCAAACTTGGGCATGTCATATGCACCTTTCATGAATAATCTTATTATTTTTACTCCCATCCCGAAATATGTGTTTGCGGAGTTATTTCCTGACTTTTTTCGCAGGTGGCGCAGTGAACATTTTACTGAATCGACTGTAGATAGAGCTTATGACTGATTGGAATCAATTCTGTTCGTTCGATTAGCCTGAATGGAATCAAGATGACGAACATGTTTGTTCGAAATACTCAGAAGGTTCATTCCATCTGAAATGACCTTCCCGGTACTGACGAGAAGAAAGTACTCCGAAACCGGTCTATTTGCTTTTTAAAGTCAATTTGTTTCATATCCATCTATTTTAAGAACAAATCCTACATGTGCTCATATCTCGAGTTTTATTTTCCATATAATTATTGTTCTGTATCAGCTGCTGCTGCATTGGAAATTTCGTTAGGTACATTTTCAGACTCACTATGTCAATGTCAACTAACTTCATGTCATATAGCTGTCAGTCGTTATTTTGCTGCTATGTTAATCAACTGTATTTTCCAAAATCATACCTTTCAAGATTTCCATATTTACAATGACAGCAATGATGTCGGAAAAATGCTACTCTCTCAAACACGCCTACAGACTTTTTTGACGGTTGTCGACAAACACATTTACGATCAGGTCTTATTTCACGGCATCCTTAACTTTCCTTACTTATTTACCGAAAAATTGTGTTCCGAATTTAGGTCTTGGAAAAGCCGAAAGACAAGTGAATGAGTTATTTTAACATTTTCATTATCAAATGAGTGTTTATTCGACACTGACCTTCATGAAACTATTACCCGTTTCAAAATCATTTTTTGGTACAGTGAATCTTCTTTAAACATCAGAACAATGCTAATACTCGTATGATATGAAGGAATTGTTAAAAAACCACGCTACACATGAAACATTGTTTTTGCTGTTATATTCGTCCAGCGTACAACAGTGAACAGTACAAGAGTAAAAAATGTGAACGATGTTTCAAAAAATCCTTCGTTGTTACGAAACTGTTCGATCATGAAAGTGATTGATATTTTATATGGATAAAATTCAGAATATCATACTCGGAAATATTTTACTGACACACTGAAAAGTGTGTATGCTAAGTATTACTGCCACTGATCGTCTTAGGGAGCCTCTTCAATCTTTTATGTTAGAGGATTGCTGTCGCTCTCATAGATGACGTCTTTTTGGGGAAAGATATCGTCGACATTACTTCAGTCAATCTAAAGAATGCCTCCTCTCGTTGAGTAAAACGGTATTCTTGTCAAGACGGGAGAAGGCATATTCTTATTTTGTTTCGACTAGACTTATTAATTTTCATTGATGTGTATAGTCAGCTTGAATAAAATTTTTGTATACAATGAAATTTATATCTGATACAAATACTTGTCCCACATACCAAAATTACAACACCTCTAAGCACCAACTTGTTTGACGAGATGCGCGTCGCAAAGAGTGATGCAGGTCTCGTGTGTGAGAGACCAGTATGCACCCATATACTGGGGATGCGATGGGGATGCGAACCATATCCTAGAAGCTCACACTTGAAATTTCATCCATTATAAGAAGAGCAAAAATATAGTATTTATTGTAATCGTCCATGAATATGTTACTTTTTCAAATGATATACCATCTGAACTCAACTCACCTGTGTTTCTTTCACCTCGTTGTTGAAAATTATCCTCACGAATGGATCAGCCAATCCTGTTTTGTCGTAACCGTAACTGATTTTACCTTGAAAAATGTGTGCCCTTAATTGAAATACCTGAAAAAATATAAGTGAACATACTTCTAAAAAATTTATATTTGTTGAATGTTTAGCAGTATAACTAGAACAAACAAAAACAATTTTCCCAGTCACCAGAATTGTTAACATGATGGGCATCAATACTTCATTTCGCTTGATTTCATAATCGGCCTCAGTACCTGATGTTAAAATATGTTAAAATATGTTTTTTGGGTAACCAGCTGTCGCACCCCTAAGAACGACAACCCTCGGAAGTCGAAACTTGTGCGAGCTAAGGACTAATGAGGTCTTACCTTTTAACGTGTGATTCCTAACACGGGTTGGACGATAGCAAGTGGAAACCGATCGTTCATCTTGGGCTTCTGTAGTAGTAGTATCTGTAGAGTAGGGAGGGTGAGTGTAAGCCCACGCACTTAGGCCATACGTGACCCATTGTACATCCTCCCGAGGAGTTGTCGTCCTAGGTCATCGTCCATCCTGTCCTTTCCAGGAAGGTGGACATGTCGCTGGGAGACATCTCCTTTATATCGGCAGGTGTAGGCCACGACTCGCCGAACACACACTCTCTTGTTGACGATAACTCCGGGCACTCGCACAGGACATGCCTGAAAGTGTCATCTTCCTGTTCACACATCCTGCATAGAGGTGTGTCCACTAGCCCCATATTATGTAGGTGTTTCCTTAGCTGACAGTGGTCAATCAGAAATCCTACTGTAAGGCGTAGATTTTTCCTGGTCATCGCCAGATATTTCTTCGGCGCCAGCTTCCCAGGGTCGCCCAAAGTGATCCTGGCAAGATTAAATCCTTTGATTCCATCCCATCTCTTCAAGGATTGAGCATGGGTGTAACATTTGACAAGTTCCGCAATTGTCGAAGTCATCAGGCCGTGGGTGCCACTGGGTCCTAAAATTCTTAGTCCAGCCGCTTCCTTGACTAAGGAGTCGGCAATGCGATTACCTTTACTCCTGTCGTGCCCTTTAACCCACCTCAGGATAATGTTATTATCTACCGAGGCTTTGGCTAAATCTTGGTGGCACTCTTGTACTAGCCCTGAGGTAACACGCTGTCTGTTCAAGGCTAATAGTGCTTGTCGGCTATCAGTGCAGATTGTTATCTTTTTGCCAGACATTCCTTTCTTGGTTATTTCTTTTGTGGCGATTGAGATACCAGCCAGTTCTGTTTAGCTTGCGGCTTGAACCACTGACTCACACATCGGTCGAATGAGTGAATGTCAAAGCACCCACGTCGAACCGCTCAGCTACCGACCTAACTAACCTGATATATTGAAACGGGTGTTATAGAATGGTTGAAGTGAATAAACACAATAAATGAAATATTGAAAATACCTTTTTTTGTTCAATTTTAACGAATTAATGCTTGAGGAAAACAAAATTGGATTACAAATAATTTTTCACTTTATATAACTACTGAAAACGATCCAGAGAGAAAATTAATTTTAACATTCAAGTGCATGATTCTTTACCAAAAAATATTCAAACTCTTGGATAGTATAGTCGATTGAAACATTCATTATTGAATACTTATACGCAGCATGTCCATTTCATACAACTCTGATATAAAAATTGGTATAATGATTAATCAGAACAATTGGGTGTAAATCTGAAAATCAAGAAGTCAATTATGGTTTCGTTGAGAACTTCCATTAATCATTGATGAAACTGCATGTATAGGGGAGAGTGTGTATGAAAGAGCCTATGTGATTTTCTACCACTTACCAAAATCTTACCATAATTTGATTTTAATGTTTGTATGGCAACGCTAAATAGCTGTCATCCACAAACATTTGACAGTTCTGCGAAAACGAATGGCGTCTGTAGACTACATCAAAGATTTTAGAAACAAAAAGTAATTTTTTTTCCTTCACTCAATTTGTTTCACAAAGAAAAGTGCAACATGAGTTGATAAAATTGATATGTTGTATTGTTAGGCATATATTCAGGATTATTTCACGATAATATTGATGTCTTAATGTTTACGCGAATTAACTGTATTTTGAGGTTACAACTTAAATGACAAAATGTTTTGAGAGATCCACTTGTGGAGGCTTTGAAATAGCCGGCTCCAGAATGCAGCAGTGTTTCATCTCATCTTAAAATCATCGCTGAAAAAGGGTCAAAACGAAGTGAACAAGTTACTTCTGCTGATATTTCCACCTCATTGTAATCACAGACTCCAACCTCTGGATGTTGCGGTTTACGGGCCTTCCAAATCAGATATTGAATAGTTATGAACGAGTGGATTGTGATTTAAGACTGATAAATAAGTAATTTTCACAAAAATGAGCAATTTTACAGTTTGATAACATTTATATAATAGATAAATTAAGTGATGTGTTGCTTTGAAAGAGCCGATTTTCCTTTTATCTTTAAGTTGCCATATTATTAATTTCTGTCATGGTATCTCATTTTATTTTGATTGGATAACCATGACCATTAAACTAATTATTAACAAAAAGCAATTTTATTCAATAACCATCAACTGACGTTAACTTTTTTTGGTGTTTTTCAAAATTGGCTCCTTCATACACACTATCCCATATTCATTGTGCATTGCATTTAATTTTAATTTATTCCACCACAGTTCATTTATATATAATTGAGATAATATCACATCACTTTGTTTTGTTTTATTCTCCAATAATTTTATTCTGTACATTGTATACACTTTAAAATAAACTTTTGATATATACAATTGGGTGTAAATCTGACAATTAACAATTCAATTAAAGTTCCGCTGAGACTTTTCATTAATCATTGATGAAACTACATGTATTCATTGTGGATTGCATTTTATTTTATTTAATTCCACCACAGTTCATTTATATATAATTTAGAGTATATCACATCACTTTGTTTTGTTTTACTCTACAATGATTTTATTCTGTACATTGTATACATTTTAGATCAAGCTTTTGATGTATGTGTATATATGTATATCTGTATATATGTATATTCCTTATTTATTACACCACACACAAGTAACATATGTTGCTTTCGTGGATTGTAGGATATTTATTTGCAATGTATTTCTCTTCTACTTGTTTTGTATGTGAGCAAATGAAAATATTTTTTTTTCACCGTAGTGTGCGCTGGTCAGGCTCTATCCCCCGAAGCCGCGATACATTCAGGAGGGCGCGCCAGCATTATCAACCAATGATCACTCCCCACACCATGGGGTAAGTGATCATTGGGTCCGATTATTATTATTATTGTTATTATTATTTTGTACGTTTTAATGTCATGTCTTTTTGAAGATACATATTTTAAAATATTCATTCTACTGTGTCGTGATATCAATTGATCGATGGAGGATTTCGTACTCTATACATTAATACTGATGATTTTTTCCTTATTCCTATATATAATATCGTTAGGCGATTTTTGCCAGTTTTTCTCTACGAACCAAAGCGCTGCCAGAACAGCTTGAGAAATTATCAAGGATTTGGCAATGCTAGTGTTAATGAACGTTGGTATGCAAAATTTCATTTCGGAAGTTTCAGCCTCGAAATGAGCCCCGAAGTAGTCGACCTACAGTAATCTAGGACGGGAATTTGAGAAACCTAGTGAAGACTTGCCCATCACAAACGGTGCATGAGGTGGCGGAAGAACTGAGCGTCAGCTTCCATGCGGTTCTTAATGGTTTGAAATGTATTGGAAAAATAAATATGCCCGAAAAGTGGGTGCCCCAAGACTTGAATGATCGACAGAAATTGTCACGTTTCTAGGTTGGTTCTTCTTTGCTTTTGCACAATCAAAACGTCCTTTCTTGGATCGGATCGTCATATATGATGAAAAGTGGATCCTCTAAGACAACAAGACACGTTCAGGACAGTAGTGGCACACCGCTGAGCCACCCAACCAATTTCCAAAGGCGAAAATCCACCAAAAGCGACTATGGTTACTGTATGGTGGTCAGCGGCTGGTGTGATTCACCATCAATTTTTACAACCGGTCCAAACCATCACAGCAGAGCCCTTTTGTGAGGAAATCGACTAGGTGTAGTGTACTGCTTCATGACAATGCCCGTTCGTACGTTTCACAAATCACCGTCTGAAAATTAAAAGAATTGAACGTCGAAGTTCTGCCTCACCCACCATGCTCCCCAGACCTCTCGCCAACCGACTATCATTTTTCCAAGCACTTCGATAGCTTTCTCACCGGTAGAACCTTGGCAAATCAGAACCAGACAAAAACAGCCTTCGTCGACTTCATCGAATCCCAAGCAAAATTTAAGCTGACGGAATTAATCGACTTGTGTTGCATCGGCAAAAGGGCACACATTCCAATGGCACTTGTTTCGAATGAATTGATTAAGTATTTACTGAGATATCGCAGTTTGAAGTAGACTCATGAATACGGACGAAACTTTTGAAACAATCTAATAATCACACGCAAGAAAATTGAAATGATGTAAATCAATAATGAATGATTCAGAAGCTTTTTCATTCATTGGACTAAAATATAATCATATTTTCACAAACTATAACTTGTGGGAAAAACAAAAAGAAAATCAAAACCCAAATTGCAATAACGGGAACATTCTATGAGACTTGCATGATTTGTAGAACTGATACAGGTGGGGTAAGTAAATCTATCTTATATTCTTTAAAATAATCGAAAAAAGAAAAAATAATTTTTTGAACAAAAGAGGTTTATGAATCCACTGAGTCAATTTCAATATAAACTCACTCAATTAATATTACTGGAGTTTTTTCCCAACACCAAATCGTTATTTTTAACGATTCATTACTACACCAAAGGTTTCAAACAGTGCATCATAAGTGTGAACATTCACCACAAGTATTTTAAGGGGCGTATTCACCAAAAAAAGCGAGCACAAGCGAGCATGAGCGAGCATTCGTTTATGTTTGCTCGTGTTCCCTTATGTTCGCTCGTGTTTGATCGACACAGCAGAGCGAATATCTTCAAGTTCGTAGTCGTAGTTGATCCATCTACTTTGTGCGAGCACCTTTTGATGTACCGATCTTTTCTGAACGCGAACAAGCATACGTTCGCTCGCTCGCTTTTAAGGTGCGTATTACGCACCTTAAAGGTGCGTATTTTTTGTACAACCTATTTTGACCGGTAGGTACATAAATAAAAATGTTGTGTCTATTTATTCGAAGAATCACGCCAAACTCTGGTCGAGCATGTTGGAAAAATATACAGTAGAAATATTGTTCAGTTGGGCGAAAATTTGATAACTATAGCTACAGTTTGTGAAACGATCAAAGCTAGGGGACTACACGAGAAAGTTTTGCAGTTGGAAATTCTGGAAAACCCTAAAACTGTCTACGCAAATGAACTCGCTAGTAGAGCTAGTCGATGAATTATTGTTATAAATGCTGTATTCAAAATTACACAGTTACATGGGCTGAAAAGTCTCGGTCCTAACATATAGATGGCGCTAATCTTCTTGCATTCACCACTTTTTCAGTGGTTGCGCTGTTCTCACACCCGAATGGGGAAGATTTTCTTGAAAAATCAACTATAGGTTCATTCAAGAACGTGTACTACAATCAGAAATACATTTTTTCAAATTTACATGCCAAAACACTTTTTTTTTTGTTTTTTTAATTATTTTTATTCATAATTTTTCATAAATAAACACCAACTTGGAAACTTAAACAATCATTCGAATTCTTGAGAACAAAGACTATGAAATCCTAAACACACCAAAACAAAAATATTGTCACTTCCGTAAAAGTTTTCAGGCACGTGAATTTTCCACATTTGCAGCAGGAAAATCTAGTTTTCCGATTCTTCTTCGTTCCACAAAAATTGCATCTTCCAGTTTTTCGTTGAAAATGGTCATGTTCATCGAAGGGAATTCCACAGATCTCTATTAATCTAGATTTCAAATTGCTGGGAAGTCCATGAATATGATCACGTTCTTGTAAATGAGGCATAATCAGTTTTTTGGCTAAATCTTTGAGGAAATTTCTTCCCAAAATATTTTCATTGGGATAATTTGCATGATAGATCACGTGAGAGTTTTTACCTGCTATATTTAGGGCCAGTGAAAATATTACAGTAGGCCATCTACGTGTGTATCTGGAGCAGTCATAACTGGCACATAATTTATCTACCACATCTACTCCTCCTTTCGTCCTATTATAGTCCGTAATGATCACTGGTTTATTAGCATCACCTGTTTCTTCACCAATCGCATCATCATGGTGAAACGAGGAAAACAAAAGAAGGTTTTTTTTTCTTTTTTGGAATGTAAAAAACGAAAGTGCAAATTTTTCTAAATCCAAACATGCTAGTACTTACTGGTCGATGAACAGGTTTTGTAAACTCCGAAGGTAGTACTTTTCTATTTTTTTTTACAATGGTACCTATGGTTGTGATATTATGATCTACAGCCAATGTCTCAACAAGCGATAGCGATGTAAACCAATTATCTATTGTTAGATTGCGTCCACTTTCCAAAATGTGATGCAAGAGTCTAAGGACAACAGCGCTACTAGAATTAAAATCCTTGTTAGCATTTTTACCAAGATATACCTCCAAATTACTCGTATAAAACGTTCTATCATCACATACGGCCAATACTTCCTCTATCAGAGCACGAATTTCAACTGAGTTAGTCAAATTAGCATTTCTTTCGCGAGGGAAATTATCGGCAATTGACTCTATACGATTATTTTTACCTAGCACTATCATATTTATCATTTCATTTATGAAATACTCCCATTGTAATGGGTCAGTTGAAGCTTTGGTAACGAGGGTGGGACCAGGAAGTCGTTTTATTATGTTTCTCTGCTTAGCTCTACCTCTTTCTACAATTTGTGTAAATTTACCCCAACGAGTAACTTTATCTTTGGATATGTATGAATATTTGGTGGAATTATTATTTGGTATATCTTTCGCATCAGACATATCTTGTTCCGTATCACTGCTCTCCAAATCTTATTCTTCGTGATCCGATTCATCATCATCATCAGATTGGTCGAATACAACATCTTCTTCGTTGGCTTCTACCTCTTGCAACATTTGCAAAAGTCGGGCCTGCTCTTCTTCGTAGTACCACATGATAAACTCTGATAGAAAATAACAATTGAAATTGATAAAAAACAAAAAGAATGAAACAAATTACCTCGAAATCAAAAAATAACAAATTAAAACTGGTTTCGCTGAGTGGTGGCGTAGGATTCTGAGACCAAAAATAGACACAGTAGACAATACGTTCACCCAATCACAGTCAAATGAATACTGATTGCCTGTCGTCTCAAAAAATTAAAATACGAGAAGCGATAGCCAGCAGCCCCCTCCCTATTCGTAACCATGGCGATATTTCTGTTCTTCGGTCTCCTAAACAAGTGCGACACCATTGGAAGGTTGAAAAACATTGCATAAGCGTTTGACTATTAGAATGCCCTGTTCAAAGTGGGTGCTGCGCGAACTCACAGTTTACAAAAAACAAGAACGTCTTGATGATTTTGAGCAGTGTTTGGCCATCTTTAAACATAACAAACCGGAGTTTTCGCGTCGATATGTGACAATGTGTGAAACATGGATCCATCACTTCACTTCGGAACCGAAACAATTGTTATCTGAGTGGAGAGCAACTGGCGAACCTCGTTCAAAGCCCCCGAAAGCACAACAATCGGATAGAAAGGTTTTATCGACTATCTAGAGAAGGGAAATACCATCAACAGTGAATATTATATAGCGTTATTGGAGCGTTTGAAGATCGAAATTGCAAAGAAACGACTGCATATGAAAAAGAAACAAATTTTGTTCCATCATAACAACACACCCTGTCGCAAGTCAATCAAAACAATGCCAAAAGTACATCAATTGAACTTCGAATTGCTCCCACATCCACCGTATTCGCCAGAATTGGCTCTTATCAACTACTGGCTGTTCACTGGTAAGAAATTTTGCTCGAATGAAGAGGTTATTGATGAAACTGATGCCTATTTTGAGGCAAAAGATAAATCGATAAACAAAAGTGGTATTGAAATGTTAAAGCGGAGCTGGAATGGTTGTGTGGCTTTCGATGAAAATTACGTTAATGAATAAAACCAATTTTGAGAAAAAAACGTTCTCTTTCTTAGCCCCGGGACTTTTGAGCCCATGTGTTATATATTTAAAAAACATCAATTCAAAATTATAATTCCATTTTTTCAGGAACTTCACATTTATTAATCTCCTTTTTGAGTGCAAAGAAAGAATTATTTCACCTCATATTCCTAACTGACATTTTTCTAATAACTACAACGTTGGTATGAGTCATAATGGGAGTATGAAAGGCTATATTATTACAAACTTACATATTTTTCTTTCGCCCTCATTTTATTTGGCAATTTTGTTATTTCTTCATCAAATTCAAACCCTGATGGAATTCCACTCGTGAAGTCATCTTGGTGTCTATCCAAACAGAGGAATAATGAAACATCAAGGGTTAATGATAAACTTTTATGATCCTTGTCATTTGCCTGAAACGAATATAATTAGATTGTGTTGCAGATGGCAAAAGAATAAACATTATACATAAAAACAAAGTGTCCTTTTAACACCACAAAATTGACCTCTCTCTTCTGTTATAGGTGAGTAAATAATGTCTCTAGCTGCTATACGACGATAAGCCACCTTCTTTTTTCCATGTACTATCCATATCAATATATCAGGCCAACAATCTTGAACCTACAACAAATTCAGTTAGAGATTGCAGAATGGTAATGTGTGGATCTCACGTCTTCCAAAAGAGCCTCTATACATCTATATTTCTTTTCTAGTTTTCTGAAAGTTCGTTTCTTGAATTGTTTTTGATATATACTCTCTATATTTTCTGAAATATCTTGCTGAAAATATAAAACAGGTAAATATGTTGAGCGATTGTCTAAAAAATATTGAAGAAAATAAGATGTTTAGTTGAATTGAATAGGGAATGCAATCTCGTTCTCGCGAGAACGAGATCTCGAGCTTTTTTTAGCGAGATGGATCTCGGTTATTGCAGTTATAAAAACAAAACTGATGTTGAGGAACCTGTGATAGAATCTGAAAACGAGAAAAATAACGATGAGATTTGTTCTGAAGTACACGAAATATCCAGGACAGGCTCAGACTCAAGATGATGTTTTTCATTGATTTATCTCCAGAATAGAAGAAGATGCAGAATATGTGGATATTATTGAGAAAGTCAGGTTTTCATAAGATTACTTACTAAAACTGATTCTAAATACAGCGTGACTCACGGTCGATGGTAGGTTAGACGATTCTGGAAAACTCAAAGCATGATTTTTCTGAAAATTTCACCTCTCACATTTCCTTACCTGTTCTATCGATCTAAAATATTTTCAGCATTCTGGCGTTGCCACTTCCATCAAAAAGTCCTAGCAACTTTATTTTTTT